GTCACGGCATTCCGCCACCGCCGCCACCCCCGGCACCACCACCACCGCCGCCGCCACCACCACCGCCACGACCGGGGCCGCCAAATCCACCGACCTTGCCTTGACCACCATCAGCGTTTCCATAACCGCCGTAGTCATCGGCATAAAAATCGTCAAAGTTGTGCGGGTCATAAGGATTGTTCACACCCTTTAGCGGTGACTGGAAAATAAAAACTAGATGTTAATACTTTGCTTCCTGAAAGATTGCTTTCCTACGTATTGTATATGTATTACAGAGCGAACTTTAATTCATTCAACAATGTTAAATTTATAATGTCAAATTACGTCATTTCTTATTATTTTTATAAATCGCCACTATTTTATATGTTATTTATATTGTTAAATATCAAAGGAACAAGTAACTCAATCCTTAAATTAAATGATATGTTGTTCTTAACTTTATGTGTATCAAAATGTAAATCAATCCATTTCCATCATTCAGTAGTTATTTAAAAGTAAACAATATTAACGTACGCACTTAATAAATAAAATAAATTTAATTCAAATTTAATATATTTTCTCAAGGTAAGTTGCTTAACTCCATTGTTTTAAAGTTAAATTAATGATATACTGAGTAGGAGCAGAGGTAACCTACAGAAATGATTAAAAATAACTCGAATTAAGTATAATTTGATATTATAAATTTAATAGAGTACAATATATCGTTATTTTAACTAAAATAACAGAATTAAGCAATTTAATTCAAGAAAATGTATTAAAAATTTGACTCAATTTCAGTTTTTTATTATTTACTAAGTGCGTATGTTAATATAAACGTTGTTTAATTTGAAAGTAATTACAGAAATGGACTAACATTTTAATATATACTCTCTAAATCTGAATCAGTGGATAGTCACTGGATAATCAGTGAAGTTCAACTAAAAAAGAAAGAAAGTTTGAGCATTATACATTTAAAATACTGCTATTTGCATGTTCATTCGTTTATTCACTAAAACAAGTTAGATCACATAATAAAGATTAGCTAAGTTAGGGATCTCATATTTTATTCATTGATTACCAGTGGCATGTTTAGCACTGGTATCAGTGATTATTCATGATTATCTGATTCAAATTTAGAGAGTAGAAATTAAAAATGACAAAATGTATTTAACTCAAGGAATTGGGTTACCATTGCGTCTTTGATATCTATCAGTGAAGAAAGAGAGAAACTATTGATGTATACTTCTACAAAAATTGTAGTAATATTCAAACAATATTCGAATTAATGATTAAGAAACAAATATATCTTCTTCGTGTCCAACAAAAAGAATCGACATTTGTGCGAGATGCAACGGCACAGCTTGTGAAAATTTATAAAAAAAAGTCATGATCTCATAGTATACTCACAGTCTTAATGGTGGCGATCAATTCGCGTATACATTCGATGCACGTCGTGGGTTTCCCGCAGATGCTGATGAGACGATCCGTGCTGCGGGGGCAGGTGTTCGAATAGATCTTGATCCTGGCTCCGGTTTTCTGAAACACAAAAGTATTCGAGTACATTAGACAAAATCTCCACAACAAGCTCAGAATCCGAGAAACTTTCCGCGTACGGATTTACATTGAAAAGAAAACGGACGCAGCTACATTCGTTACAGTCGACAAGTTAGAGGTACGAATGACAATTCTCTCATTTTTCAAGTTGGAATGTGTGACTCCGCAAATAAAAATATGTCACGTCCTCAAAAATATCGAGATTGCAACCTCATATTTCCGTCTAGTATTTCTTCTACATTCGACTAATAATCGCTGACGTAATGAAGTAAGTAACTCAACTCTCCTGTGCGCGTTCAACGGCTCTTTTTAATTACTCCGGACAATCGGACATGAGTCACGATCAGGGTGCGATACTCCGTCTGCTTCCTCGACAGCTCTCACCCACCCCTGATTAACGACTTAACGATGCTTAAATACTTTCGTACCCGCTCCACTAATCTGCGCTCCGCTCTTTGCCGCGAGGTTTCTAAGTAATACCTCGAGACGACAATGTTCCGATCGCGTGCTGATAGTCGTTTAACAGTCCACCTGTACTTTCCGAGATCGCGATCACTCCATCGAGACGGCTGAGCGCAAACATGCAACTATGTGGTGGCACTTAAATTTTTCTTAAGCTAATTTAACCTGTCGTTTGCGTCGTAAAGTAACTCGTGAGCTTTCGATGATAACAGACGAGATTTACAGCTGCAGGTAAAACGAAATAATTCTGCGCATTGAATTGGAGGGAGGGACGATGAACTGACAGACAGTGACGCATATAGGGTGGATATACGCGCGGAGATAGCTTTGATGCGAGTGATGCAAAAACGAAAAATTGCCGATAACATCGACAGCCGTGTGCTCAAACGCGAAATATCCAAACCAGATAACAATCTAGTACGCTCACGTACTACATATACACGCGTGCTGCATCCGGTGGTATTGTGCGGAGAAATCGCGCCGTTTAATTACGTAGATCAAAGCAACCCACTCCCTGAAATCCCGCTGGCCCCGTGCAGATCCATTCAAACGCTTCTGATGCAGACAGTCCAGCGATATTGAGAGCTCTGGATACCTGGATACAGCGTTAATCTCAAAGTGATAGAATCGAGAAAAGTGCACGTGAAGACAGAAGAAGGAAGGGATAACGCAAACGTTATTCATACACTCGAAATGTTTAATCGACTCAGTTTCACGGCGCAAGAAATAGCACTATTTTCTTTTAGAGAGAATAAAGCGCGCGCATATTGTCATTCTGCTCCAGCGTAACAAAAAAAAACAACCAATGCTATTTGATCACCAGTGAATAAATGGCGAACGGTTATATTGCTCGCGTAGATATCTATATAATTAGTCAATGGAATTCATAAGCGGAGAAGGAGCCGAGAAATAAAAGCTCGGTGTCGCGTTATATAACCAGCCATCCGAGCGATTTGAATGCCATGATTTGAAAGAAAAATCGATGAGAATTGCCATCGCAGATCGGTATTTACACGACATGCGCCGGGGGCGGAAAAAGCCAAATGTGATTTTAATCGAATTAATTAATTCTGCTGATCGTGTCCACGAATCAGCCGGATTAATCTCGACGCGACAGAAACGAGAATGGGCGCGAATTCTTGTATGCAACAACGATTTTGGATTGACAAGGATTGTTCTTAAAGCCCAGCATTATTTCTGATATTTGAATCATTTTCACCGGAAGTTGGCAGGTGTATCGTTGACATATCAAACTTTCATTTGCAATTAATATACAAAATCAATTTTCTAAAAAAGAAACAAGTGTGTGTTAGTTATATTAATATTCTCCACTGTGAAAGTAAAATCAATTGCCGTGAGAACTCTTGATAATTAATCGAAGAGATGAAATAAAAGACAAAGATGAAAGCCACTCGCTGTAGCACTTTTTGACACTCGCGTTTTTGCAGAAGACAAACTGCCTCGGAAAAGAGGCAGATTCTCGAAAGAAATTTCCGCTCGTCCGTTTGAACTTACCCTCTGACATTCGATATCGGTAAACTTGAAAAGAACAATGTGAATCGACCGTTCTTTGAAGGAACCAATGTGCCATAAATAGCAGTATAAAATAGCAGTATAAAATAGTAGAAGTAGTAGGAGTATGAGCCGCGAGATTTTGCGAGGAAGTGAGATTATTTCGAGTCGTAACATCGAGCGATATCACAATGCATTATGTATATCGTATGAAGCTACCTCCCAGGCTCCCACGCGCCCTTGATCGTCCTACCGACGCACAGCTATATGGATTTTCAATTTTCCAGAAAGTTTCTGAACTTCCGAAACTTGCCGCGATCGCGGAAATTTCTGTCCTCCCCCTTCGAGTGAAGACTTTCTTGAATATTCAAGAGTCGAGGAAGATAATTAATTGTACCAAGTTTCAAGGTCGCAACTTGAAATAATTATGCCAACCTGTGTATGCTCGGCGTAAGAATTTCTTCTCGAAAGAATATTATACGTGTTAATAACTCTCTCTGAAACTAACAAGTTTTATATTTATATCATTCGCGACTACGGTTACTTCCGAGAGAGGCGTTATTAAACGTAAAGACATTGGTATTAGAAGATTAAAGTGGCTGTAACGTGCTTATGGTAATTCGACGCAAACATCCAGAGGACTTCAAAGTCCTTGCACTGGGAGGATAACCATACGAGAGCGATTTCGTGAGAATGAACCGCACTGCGCCACAAATTCGTGTTTGCTTAACAGTTCTCCGTTGCAACGGCATCCGTAGCACAAGTTTACAAACTTCAACGGTATTACTGGCGGCGTCATGCACTGATCTAAACGTAAATCATACTATTCAATTCGATGCAACGAAGAAGTTCCGCCCCACAGCTGGTTCTGAATGATTTTACGTAAAGGCCAACGAATATTGGTATCGATTGTATAAACAAGTCAAAGGCGTTGACGTTATCGCTTGACGATATTTGCCTTTTAATAAACCATTTTTAATGACAACAGAGTTTCGAATAGCATATTTCGTTCCAGTTATGCTGATGGTGTTAGCCGGACACGAAAAGACTTTCTGTATTTCTTAACTTTGACGTTTATTTCGTTTCTCGGGTGTTCGTTTCATCAGTCGTCAATCGATTATCTTAGTGAAACTCGTGCCTGTGTATCCAAAGGTGAATTAAAAATAACACATTATGACGAAATAATTCAATTTTTAAAACAGCGAGGAAAACGATCGCGGATGATTTAAGGAGATTTTCTACTTTGTCAGGCTGTTTATGTAATTTTTAGGAATTTTTTTTGGAAAAGTGAGTAAATATTTTTTAAGTTACTTTTATTCTCTATTTATTATTGTTTCAAGATAGATTTGCTATTTTTTCTATAAAAAGTATAAATAATTAACAGATTAGTTTGATTTCTATCGTGTGGACGATTCTATGCGATCATGATTCCGGATCTTTCAATTACAATTAAAAAAACAAGACATCATTTTAATCAGAACACTTGCGGCTGTCATCGGAACTAGAATTATCTTAATAATTTAATTTTTTCTACTTTTTCAGAACTCAAGAAAACAAAAAAATGAAAATCAAACTTTTTTTTATAAACAAGTGCTATTTATTTATTTAATGAGCGAAATGAATAATTCTAGTTCCATTTTTTTAATTTCAGCCCACTAAGAGATCCGCTCGGAGATCCGGAATCGTGGCCGCAGATGTATACGATGTAAAAGTCAAATAGATCTATTATTCATATCTTTTATTAAAAAATAGCAAATCTCTCTGACTTGAAACAATATCAAATAAAGGACAAAAGTAATTAAACAAAAATATTTACCCACTTTTTCAAAAAATATTCCTAAAAACTTGCTGAAAAAAACGCGACAAAGAAGAAAATCTTCTTAATACCTCAAAAGAATTACGTGCTTGCAAAATTTTATTATTTTCATAAATAATAAAATTTTGCAAGCATAAATTTAATAGACAATGTTTTCAGGTTATTTCCGTCTGTACTGCGTGACTCTTTCTGCAAATCATCGCTATAAGGTGAGCACCTGAAGTATAATACTTAATGCATTTTCATGAGTTCGTAGTTCATAGAGACGCAAATTCATACGCATTCATGACCGTTCGTGAAGAAAGACAGCTATCCACTTTGCGGCTTCAATTCATTACCGATTCAGCAATTGTGCAGTGACTTTCAAGTGACACTACGGAAAGAAACGCATAGTCGTCGTTGAAATGTATAGTCACAAATTACCTCTCAACATATCTACTACTTTCGAATCAGGTGAGAAACTGACATAAACTGCCACATAAATCCCATGACATGTAAATATCACAAACCCGTCGGGATAAACGAAACAATATTCGCATTTTACAAAACGCTAAATAGAGCTTCGAAGCCCTCCGGATTACTACGTCAAAAGTTCCTTCTATGTGCCGATGCACATTTCGATCAATAAATTAAAATTTATATTCTACATACCGGACTGACTGATGAATGTAGCGCCAATCAATAATAATTGGAAATTTCACATCGCGTACGGAAATTTCTCGACGCTACATTCACATACGCGAATCTAAATAAGTAACAATCTATTAAATATTAATGACGCCGAAATACGCTGTAGACTCCATGTCAGTCGAAATTGGACGAAGATATAAGGGAGACTATAAAATAAATAAGATATCACCGCTCGCGATATTACACGCGTGCGCGCGTTTGTTGTTGGAAATTCCGAGAAAAATAAGGAGAAAGCGCGAAAATTCGTATGAGAAATCGTTTCGCGACGTGAAATGCGACAGGTACGAGAGACTAGCTTTCGCCGTCGACATCCGCGACGGAAACGAAAGGAAGGCAGTGGTCAGAGCAGTTCTCTGAATACGCGAGATATCGAGAATACGACAAAACGCGACAAAACGCGACGAGGTACGTCGTTGTCGTCATTGCGGTCGTGTTGCTTCGTTTATACCGGCTGTTTTCCCTTTCAAAGCGTTCCTGTGCGCGACCGATCTGCGACCGAGATCGAGTCAAAATATACCGATACACACGTGCGTCGTCCGAAGGTGACACGAAGACAAATCTTCGGGGGTCTTCCGCAAAGCGATCTAGTCGCTGTAACGTACAGCGGCAGAGAAACGTAGTCAATAAGATAATCACAAGTCATCGCTCGTACGTGACACCTCGCAGATTTCATCCTCGCGTTTCTTCACAGAAAATTGTTTCTTCTTCAGTGTATTACTATAATGGACGTCTACACGATCGACGAAGTCGCCAGTCACAATAACGCCGAGGATCTATGGATCGTGATACACGGTGGAGTCTATAATATCACCAAGTTCCACAAGGAACATCCTGGCGGCGAGGAAGTGCTGCTGAAATTAGCGGGGCAAGATGCGACAGAATGTTTTGAGGCCGTCGGCCACAGTAATGAGGCGATTATTTTGCGCGAGGGTTACAAAATCGGAGAGATACGAGCGAACGGCGTAAGCTCCGATAATAAATCAAAAACGACGAACACAGGTTTGTTCTTTTCCTCGATCGCTTTACCGTTTCAATTGTATTGTACTGTGATTTAATACCGTTCGGATCCATTGCTTGCAAATTTAACAATGCGCTATAAACAAAGTCTCGTATATAGTCGAGCTTACAATGTTTACGTCATCGACAAATGCGGGCTTATGTACATATGTGTATCATTTATATACCTTTCATGTATTTTCTTCAATTTCTAACGGTTATATTTTAGTTATCGGTTTTCGCTATTCATAATCGATTCTTTTATTTAAGATCGCCTTGAGTACGATTTTAACCCAGAATATTTTTATACTCCAATTAAAATCATTATTATTAACAATTTATTACATATTGTTTTCCGATTTACCAATATATTCGAGAACATTATAGATATATATATGAGTTTAATTATAATTTTTTGAAAAAGTAAGTAGAAACCAAATATTAAACAAAATAGAAATTTATTATAATAGTATTTTGCAAAAATAAAGATTTTAATTAATACAGCACTTTTTATTGCGGGTTTAGTTTTCGATGAAATTGCACATTTTCGTGTAAAGAATAATTATTAGAAAAGAAAGAAAATGTCAAATAATATCTATTATATAAAACAATATTTTACAACGCATTTTCTGCTGCTGAGATATAAAAATAATCCAGGTGATTATTTTCGAATTAAGATGTCATAAATTAATCATCGTTTCAGCAAGAGATATTACTTAAGATTGTTTTGAAATAAGAACCGACTATAAATATCGACCTTAGAGCATTCTACCATATTTATGTTACGTCAACGAATAATAGCACAATAAATGTTACTGACACACTCACATTACAATCATCCTATGCTCTTAGCATTGGTTCCACCAATGTAAGATTAATTTTAATCTCAGTTTACTGTTTATCTTTATCTAATTCCTAGGATTACAAGAAAATAAACAGTAGATTGAACCAGGATTAAAATTAATCTTACATTGATGGAATCGGGTCTTGGTAGAAGAATCATGTATCGTATCCTGTTGCTCTTTAAAGAACCATACATCGTAGTTGTAAATCATGTACTTTTCAATGTCACTAAGTCTTCACAAATTATTCTTTTTATTTGTAGAAATAAAAGAATCAGTGGAGGAGGATTGGCAGTATCAAGAATCGGATAAGGAACAAGCGTCGTCCTGGTCCTCGACATTCATTTGTTTCTCTTTCATAATTTATGCTATAATAATTTATTATTGGATCAGAAAACTAGGATTTACGAACACAATTTATTAATTTTAGCTAAAATGTGCAAAATGCAATGTTATGCATAATCCATTCGAAGCCATTAAGTTATTGTTCTCGCATAAATATTTTAATGGATATATATACATTTACTTGAAAATTTGTTATTTAATACTTACAAGAAGAATAAGAATATATTGAACAGATATGTTTTGAGTTGATTCCTTTTAATTTTGATTTTAATTAATTCTACCGCTTTTATTATTTTGCATTTATCATGTAGGTATAATTTTGTACATTGTAATAGAATTTGTAATGAAGCTCATTATAAAGCAAAGAAATATTCGAAAAAAAATTACTCAGTAGGTCTTACGTAACTTACAAAGGAAGTTTCACAACTGTCCGGAATCGATTTGATTCTCCGTGAAATATGTTGTTAAATACAAAAATCTAAGAAACACGTATTTTTTTATACGTGCGCTAATTCATGTTTAAGGGATGAAACACCCATTTGAAAAAAAATGATATTTCTATTTCGAGCCGAATACCGTCGGAAGTATAAAAGATGGAAAAAAACTTTTTAAACAAAAGTTGTATGATTTCAAGAGTACTTCAATGTTGTGAAGAAAACAAATTTTTTTTAATTTTTTTGTTAACAATTGTTAAAAAAATTAAAAAAAATTTTTTTTCTTCACTTTTTTTCACCCCTTAAACATGAGTTAGCGCACGTATAAAAAAATACGTGTCTCTCTCTCTCTTAGATTTTCGTGTTTAACAACATATTTCATGAAGAATTAAATCGGTTCCAGACAGTTGTCCAGATTGAAACTTCCCTTGTTAGTAAGTTTTCTTGTTTTAATTTAGTACGTGTTTTATTTTGGTACGTGTTTTATGCGTGCAATATATTTGAACTTTATTCCAACGTGCGTCGAGTAAAAATATTAGTGAGTTTGTCTAAAATGTTCGTCGAAAATGAATCATCGTTCACGAATGTAACTTGTATCAATATTACGGAAAAGCTCACCAGGCATCAAATAATCGAAATTGTGAAACAGCCGAGCGATAGTCTTCATTTATAATAACGATAAACGTATTATCTGATATATATGTATTATATAACATTCGCTATTATCAGTTCTAAATATTCATTGTTACAGAAAATTAGATTAAAAGAAAAATATCTGATCGTACAAGCGGCGACATACATTATGTACATACATAATATTATAATATAATATATATGAAATTCTAAAATACACGGTGAAATTTCTACACCAAAAAAAGCAACTTTTTGTGATAAAATTGCCCTGAACAGTAATTTTGAGTTGTTGTAATAATTGATTTTTAGTCGTTACGATAATTGATAGTTATTATGGAATATCTATATGAAGAAAATGACAGCGCGATTATTCATCAACTTCAAATTGCTTTTATTTGAATATTATATAGATATATAAATTATAATTACACATATTTATATATAATTTACAAATAAGAACAAATATACAATATATACATGTACGTGAAAATACAAACACGTACATATAAATATATATGTATATAAATATATACATGTTTTTCTTTTTTTAATGTGTATAAATGTCGTATGATGCCGTATAAAAATGCGATCGAGCAGCTTGACTATCATATTTATCTTTTTGCGTGGCGTCACCATGACTAGACGCTTTTGCATATGAATCGGACATCATGATCGCATAGTACGTGAGTTTACTAACAAGAACAGCACCAAGTAATTTTGTACAAAAACGTTGCTATTATTTTTATTGTGTGCTTTCGGCTTACGACGAAATTTTCGAAAGATCGCGCCGTAATTAGGTCATTATTGCGAGAAAAATTCGAAGGCAAAAAATTCATTTACGCGGATACATATCGCGCGTAATATGTTTATTAATCGATATGTTGATTAACCAAGTTAACGAATATTACAAAATAGAGATGTTTTTATTCGTCATTTTTATTTAATAAAATACTGCCGATAAAATTTTCTCCAATAAATGGAAAATATGTCACCCAGAGAAAGATTCCTTCAATTCAAAGAAATGTTTCTTTGCTATACGGTTAAAGAAAAAAATGTCTTTGATTTGAACGTCATTTCTTTGATTTGAACATAATTTTCTTTAAATCGAATAAATTTTTTTTATTTCAAAAAATAATGTTTAAATCTAAGAAATGACGTTCAAATCAAAGAAATTTTTTCTTTAAATCGAAGAAACCTTTCTCTGGGTGCAGAATTCCTTGCAGTTTGAAAACTACGTACGATAAAGTGAGACTACTTCTCTTGACACGAGTGAAAAGTATATTTATTATGTTTCTAGACATTCTGTATATTGTATGTTATAACTGACAAATTTGAATCAGAATTGTATTATCAGTTCAGTGAATTCTCTCACGAAAACCTCAGAAATTCTCGTACGTATACATTTCGGAGCTGTTCTGACTAACAAAAACGCCCTGAGCGATCAACGACTATCCGTAATTGCAATCTGAAATTACAAACTTCTTGAAATGAGACTTCAATTCATAGCAATCGAGGATTTGTATTCAGCCTTTGTGAAAACAATATATTAGGGACTTTCCATTTGATGACACAAGTGTCATTCTATTTTTTGTTACTCTCTGAATATCAAGAAGGATAGAATGATGTTTGCGCCGACTTGTATCACTAAATGGGAAGCACCCATTATTGCAGATTCGCAGGTTTCTATGCAAGTCAGCCAATCGAGTCCGCCACCTAGGCATTGCCCACGATCTAACACGTCAGCGTTAGAGTCTTGCTGTAAAAGCAACGGTTGGCAACGTTGCAGCTGGCCTCCAGATAACACGAGAAAAGCTTATGCGGTGGGGTCCGGACAACGGGAGGAACAAGAAGGAGGGGATCATAGAACTGTACGAACGACAGACTGCAATCCGTAGTGTTCACGCGAGTGCAGTTCCGAGGAGAGGTTCTCGCATTGGCGGAGATCATCGAGATTCGCATCTGCGACTTATTTGTACCGCTGCCTTGCGTTTCTCTCTGGATCCGTCTCCTTCCGTCAAAGAAGTCGACGTTATCCTTCACGACACACCCTTCGAAGGTGCGAAGAGGAGGTATGTGGTCCGGCGAACGTCAAGTCTCCGTGAACTGTCTTAGACGAGCTTTTCCACGCAAAGACTCGGTGAGAGCCATTCGTTTCGAAGGAAACTTGGGAAAAGGCCATATCGATCCGACGCACTTCTCAAATCTGTTTATTCGACGGCGAAGATATCTTCGACGATCTCTATTCTTGCGAATGGACATCTCGAATCGATATTTCCATCGCGAAACTCGCGAGTGTACTCGTTTAACTGCCTGCGATCGGGCGAAGTTTGATTATTATTAGTAAGGGTTGAATTCGTAATCCTTCAAAGGCATATATTGACTTCTCTCAATAGCAAACAGAAAGCGAGAGACGTAGTTGCCCACTTTCTCAAATAGAGCTTTCACCTAACGAAATATTTTCCGCTTGAGAAACGTTTCCGCCGTCTGTGCGTCTTTCTGCGCATCACACTCGAGAAATTACGAGAAGTGCGCAAATTTCGAGAAATTTTATTAAGTAATGGCCTCCAATTTTACGTTGTTTGGCTCCGTAGAAACGTTGTTTATCGATATCGCCTAGCGATAGTGCTACAACATCGCCTATTTAAGCGGATGATTAGATAACGAAAATATACGCAGGAGTATACCATTTATTGCATCATTAATATTGTCAGATGTAATGACATTTTATTGTATTGCATGACATGGATGTTTATTTGCTACGTTCGGTACACCTGAAATGATTTGACAAGTCATTTAAAAACGTTATCTCACTCGATTATATAATAAATATATCTCAAAAAATAATATTACAGCATAGTCGAACTTTGATAGTTGTGGTACTTGGTAACCAGCTCGTTATGTAATCTTTGCTGACCTCGTCATGATTATATCGAACCGCTCGTGGTACGTTAAAACGCCATGCATGATGATCCTAACGCGTTACATGACGTCATACCTATAAATTTGTTTATGTTACTCTCAAAATATTCTCAAAATTTATCGACCCATTATAATTAGCTTTTCTAGAACTAAAAGTATTATCGATCACAAATACGTAGTTTACATGAATTACGTGACTTCAGTCTTACCGAAAATTACAATTTAAAAAGATAAAATGGAATCGTACTTTATGACGGTTCAGACACATTCTTGCGTTACGCGAGAGGAAAAAACATTTTACTTATGTAATATCGAAGCTACGACAAAAACAATTTTAATAAATTCTCTTTTCTTTTAGATCGACTGTACAAAGAAGAAAAAGCGAAAGGTCGTCGAGACATGGCGGAAATGAGAGCATTCACGCGGAGCGAGATCAAAAAAAGCGATGATAAGGACAAAGTCCTTTTCATCTTGCACGACAAAGTATACAACGTCCGCAGCTTTCTCAATGAGCATCCGGGTGGAGAGGAGATCCTGTTGGAACACAAAGGCATGGACGCTTCCGAAGACTTCGACGACGTCGGGCATTCGAAAGACGCGATGGAACTGATGAAGACGTACCAGGTCGGCGTGATCTCTGATTCGGAAAGGATGAACAAACTGCCGAAAAAAGGTTGGGTATCGAAATACTCGAAGGAATCGGAAAAGAACGTTCAAGGATCCAGCCTGCCTTTTTATCTATTCATGGGTGGAATCGCGCTCGTAGCGGTCCTCTTTTTTTACGTGTATTAATCGATCCGCTAGAATTAATCCGGGAAAATGCTGTGAAAGTGAGTGTGACGTGTGATAGAGAAAGGTAGATATAGAACGAAAAAATATTCTTGTATGTCTCTAATGCCTCTGTGGTCTCCAGAAGCGTATTTTATAATTAACTTCTTCGAGAGAAGTTTTATTTTATATAGACATCGAATCGTCGTTATATATGAGCAGTTAATGTTCGGTCAACGTTATATTGTCAATGTAAAAAGTTGTTAATTCTATCGGAATGCGTGTGTTAATTCTATTGGAATGATTTTTATATACAGAATATATAAAATTAAGATTAATCACTAAGCTTATATTTAGAAACGTCAATTTTAAAGCGATTTTTTAATGAAAATTAGAGCATGTTTCCACGGATTAACTTTAATCGTTAAAGCAAGCGATTTTATATGAGTCACAAAACGAGTTTTAACCGGTGTTTATCTATGATGTTATTCTGCCTGTGTATGCAAGTTGCAAATTGCTTTAATTCAAAGCAGCTTTTGCGTACGCGAACAACCTGACAAATTAATTTGGTTTTAATTAAAACCATTGGTAATATGTCATCGATGTGTTAAAAAATTAAAAATCAATTATATTAAAATGTACAATATTAATATATATTAGTTAACAATATAAATTTTATTTAAATATCGTAACAAAAAATCTGAAAAATTATTAAATAAACAAACAAAACAGATTACTGCAGTTGCATAATAAAAGAATGTTTAAACGTTAAATTATTCTTATTAATTTAATAAATTATTTTCAATAATTTATATATCTATAATAAATATGTTTTAAAAAATTTTTTTATCTCAAGATTTCGATCTATATTACTTTTATAATCTTTAAGGTACATCGCTCTTAACTCGCATTTACTTTTTAAACAAATAAAAATATAAATACATGTTATCTAAGATATTTTTCTTATTGACGATAAACCTGTTGGTTGTTTTCATAAGATACACTGATGACTTGTGATTTGTTTTTTAGACACTTACAAAACTTTTCCGCATAGAATAAATTAAGACATCCCATTTCCTACAATTTGTTATAAAATATAATAAATAACGACCGATAAAGAGATTATGAATTTTCATAACCCCGAGCGTTTCTCATTCGTTTTTCTACAAGAAAATATAGATGAATGAATCGCGGATGTTCGGAGGATAACTATTGTAAGTGTTAAGTATTTTAATATAAGAAAAAATCAAGTGCCACACTGAAAAAAAAGATTGGCTGCTGCAGCCAATTAAAAATACTATGCCATATTTTACCATCTAATTTGCTGCAGCAGTCAATCTTTTTTTTCAGTGCGGTTGGTTAACTGGAGTGTAAGAATTTTAACAGCATGCAAACGCGACATGTGAAATCGAGAAAGAGGGAGAGAACGTGGGAGAATCGACAGAACCTATTCAAGACTAAATGATACCTACATATGTTATTTACAAGCATATTACATTTTATCAAACGAAGTAGATAGTATAAACAATAATTACACATATTGCTTACTTACATTGTATCGCAAGAAACACTTTTCAAGCATGAACGTGTGAGCTGTTACTTGAATAAGAGCTTCCATTGTATACGTAATTGGTTTGATCCGCTTGTTAGGTGCTCCATGTTATTGTCGTATGCCTATCGACGCTAATTGTAACCCAGAGCGGACGTTACACGCCCGCGGCCGTCCACGTGTCGACGTTTACACGCTGGCCATCCGGGGGTTCATCGCTTTTCCGAACAAGTAGTGGAAAGTGGTCGCATTGTCGCACCACCCCCGTCGACTTCGCGCATGTATGAACTCGCGAGGGGGAGTAGGAGGACCGCAATGACATATGTGGAAAACCGCATATCCTTCCTGTCAACCGTCGGCCATCTGCTTTACATACCGACTTCCGGCGCCGGTGGAGACTTTGAAACGTACCCAACCCCTCGGCTTCTCTGGGTCGCAAGGTCCTTCAACTCTCATAATTTTCTCTTTTACCATCCCGCACTTTTCATCTCCTTCTCTTTCTCTCTTCTTTTCACCTTCGTCTCTTTCCGCGAATCTCTTTGACGTTATGCAAACGGAGACACTTTCGGCATGCTGAAAATCGCATGGTGAAAATCGCGTTCGTCCTATCTTATTTAAGGGGATCCTAAAGCCGTCTGTATTACCGACTAAATCATATAATTTTTTTATAACAAATACTTTTTTTCTCTTTCACGGATTTGAAAATCCTTTTCCAGGATTAAAGCATACACATTAATACGTGTTGTGAGGTGGAGTTTATGCCGAGAACGACTAAGAAATTTTAAAATTGATATATTTTTTACCATTTCTTAGGCCCGTTTTCACAATATATGGTTACCTAAAGATTAAAGGTTACCAACAGATTCATCAATAAAATTCATTCATGAATTTTTTGGTAACCTTTAATCTTTAGGTAATCATATATTATGAAATCGGTCCTTAGTGTAACATGGCGTCTCAGTCGTGACAACATTTGCTTGATACGAAAGTTTTGCAACCTGTACTTACGAAATAGTAATCCACAAACACGTAGTTTGCACAAACAAATAAACGTCGAGTTCTTAGAATTAGATTTAGATGCTTCATCGCGACAAATTTATTATACGAAAATTGACACAAACGTGCGACTGCGTGTATCATAGGTTGCGTGAGATATTAATGTGATAGTATATAAAGACATGTCGATGCACTGGAAAAACAGCGACCTCTGGTGACTTCGTCGGAGTTCAAGCTTCGCTTTAGGGATCCCCTTAACTCGCGTCGTTGCATTCATGGAGCTCTGAACACGATAAAGAAACGTTACAAAAAAATCGCCATCGATAACGATAATTAAGCAAATTAAGCAAATTAAAACAGTCAAGTAAGAGATCATATTTGATCTGGATATTAAATATCTCGTACTCTTCGATATCCTATAATTACAATTATGCAACGTTCGTAGTGTAATTCTAACTCATCCAATTCGAGACGCTTCTCTTCTCCCTTCTGTCGGCGACGGTAAAGGATCGTTTACATTTAGATGCCAGAGCGAAAACACGATTTTTTTTCTTATTTCTATTTGCTGACCTCTCGATGGCGCTCGCCGTCGCTCTCTTTGCGAGGAAACGGAAACTCAATACCGTCCTTTTGAAGGGTCATAATTTTTTCTCCTTTTCTACCCGACGAAAAGTAATTTTAAAAACATCAATGTACGTCTCGGTGTGAGGAGAGCATAAATTTTTCAAAGGACTTAATGCATGCCACTCTAAGAAAACCGTCGCGGTAATGCGAGCCGGTTAAATTTGACGTTTCAGAAGTATTTTTCTGCTTTCGATTTCGCGATCGCTAGCGAACCATTAAGTCACAGAGATTGACAGAAAGCTGACAGACGATACGGACTGATGAGACCACCATGATTTAAACGCTTCCCCACTGAATAGGAAAGGCGTAAGAACACGTCGCAAAGTCTTCCGCAAGCGGGAAGAACGGGAAGAAAAGTGAGGTGCGCAAAGAAAGCGAATTCGCAGTGAAACGAGGATTCTCAAATGGACGTAACGAGTTCTCCACAGTTTCCCGGTTGCTTTTTGCCGCCGTTCACCCCCTGTTCCACTCTCGCACTTACCTTTCCCTCCTGTCCCCATCCCTCCCGTTCGCCCAGGTCTCACGAAAAGCAGCAATTTTTCCAATCCCTCTTAGATAAGACGCTTTAAGAGAGAAGGGGCCGTAACAAGTCGCTATTTTCCTCGTTGGTGACGAGGAAAATAAACTGGAGAACGTCAGCGGTAACAGGTGCATACACAAAGGGTTAACAGACAGTAGAGGGAGAGACAAAGTACTCGGGCGCGCTCGGAATCGTAAGGCGTGTTACTGCCGCCGTAGCAACGGAGGAGATACAATAAATATTCTGGTAAATGTGCGCAGGCCGTCCCGCCGCGTTCTCGAGGACGGCGATATTTCACGAGCCGCGAGATGAGCGCGGGGCACGCATGCGGATTTATGCGGCAAATTGTTTTTCACTCTTCTTGTTTGCCAACGTTCAGTCCGAGCGTACGTGTAAGGAGCATGCGAGAAATCCATGCTGATAGGAAGGAAGATGAATACGATAAAAACTTAATTGCCTGAAGGATAGATAGGTCTATCTGGTTCTCCTTCGGGCGCGGTGCAAGAATTACAACCCTGCATGGAAGAAAAATGTTCTCCGTGCAACAAAAACAATTTACACTGTTGGAATATTTGTGTCGAATATAACATATTTCAAATGTCTCAAACAGTCCATTCGAATTTTTGTGTTCATTTAACATATTTGAAAAAAAATATATTTAAAAATATTCATATATTCAACATAATATATACAATATTCAACATATTTAAAAATGATCACAATAAAGATAATGCTGACACAAAACAAACTTTGTAAACAAATTGTGAAAGTATAATTTATAATATTAAATTAAAACGTATTTCATAGATACAGATTTGAAAATAAATTTTGTTAGTCAAAATAATGGCTGCGTTCAGCAGAGAAAACTAACCAGTTAGCGCCTAGTGATTCTTCAATAAAATTGGTTCTTACATTTAGATCCAATGAAGAATTAAAGACAAGAACTAATCATATTAAAGAATCACTAAACTGATTAATTTTCTCTGCTGAATGCAGTCAATTGTATAGGACATTCGAGCTGATTGCTAGAATGTCGAAACTTTTTATAGCATTGTTCATTATATTTAAGTGTTCTACATAATAATTTTAAGTCCAACAAAGTTATTTTTAGATTTATATCTAGCTAAATTTTCAGGTACTTTAGTAAATTCTTTCCGTGTCTGATTAATGAGAAGGAAAATTTGTACGATGTTCCAGCTGAATTACATATGACAATTCGATCGATTCGCGATCTGTCCATTTTTTCGCGCACATTTTTCTCGCGATGTATAATTACGATGCAATCGAACTGACTTACATGAAGCAGATTACGAACGAAATTGCAGTCAAGTTGCGAGAACCAATGTTTGCGGAACGTCGGCGAGTGCGACAATACAACGGAAAATAGCACGATCAAATGGGTGCTTGTGTTGCACTGTGTTACCTCGAGGTAACGTTGGAACAAAACCCGGAAATACATAGTTTCGTTCCTGTTGTACGAAATCTCTATTTTGCAATACTATTCTCGGGTATATGAATAGAACTCCGAGAAGGACTGTCATTTAGCGTTTCGTCCAGTGCCAGATAAGTGCCCATCTCCGTCGAAAGAAGGGACAGGTCGCAAATCGATCGGAAAACTCCTGGTCAATGGAAAAAAAAACGCGACATTCGATATCCTAGGCTGATTTTCATTTGACGCTCGCAAGACTCCTACACCATTAAATATTAAAAGAGCAATGATAACCCCATATATCCCATGAGTTAAATAACATTTTGTTATTTTTAACTTCCACACTGAAAAAAATATACCAAATTTTAATAAATCATTTGTTTGAATCGTGCCAAATAATGCTAAATAAAAAGATGCATTTATTTGGTACAAGAATCATTAATTTGATTTAACTGTAATTTTTTAAATCAAATATATATTTATTTACTGTAAGTA